TGACAGATTGGAATAAATTAATAAATAATCATTTGTTTAGATAAAGAAAATATGGAATAATAATTTAGATTAAATAAATAATAATTAAAAGTTAAATATTAATTTTGAAATTATCAAAATATATATTGTAATCCATAATGTAATTTATTCATACCTGCTTTAACTTTGGACCAAATGTAGTAGGCTCTGGACTAACTTTTAATTGAAAAGATATCATCGGCAACCTTGGTACTGCTTCCATTGTAAAGTATTTATTAAAATATTTCTGAAAACTGACAGTTAATCATCTGTCAAACTGGTAGAAAATGGATTTGTTCACAGAACATACTTTTTCTGTCACGTACTTACAACGAATAATTGCCGTTTTTGGGCAGATATTCAAGTACAAAAATATTTTCAACTATATGATACAAATTATTTTTTTAAAATTAAATATTATTTTAAAAAAATTTCGACTTTTTTTTTACTAACTATAATAAAAAATTATTAATTTCAATAAAAAATTTAAAATATAATGATATATTAAAAAGATATACGTTTAGGGAAATTGTTTTCTATATATTGGCTAAATAAGAATATATTTTACATCAAGTATATTAAAATTTATTAACGATTTATATCCATGAAAAAAAATTAAAAATTAAAGCGATGTAATAAATCTATTATTGAAATATTTGTTTGTTCAAGCATCGAAAAATATATGATTATGAATTAAAAGAAATTAAAAAAAATTAAAATTAAAAAAAATTTTTTTTAAATTTAAAAAAGAAAATTATGTAATAATTTATACAAATATTAAAAATAGTATGTTGCTTATTAAAATTTATTTTCGTAAACGTAATAAATGTTTATATTTCAATTCTTTATTCGTAATTACAATCAAATACAAAGTATCCAATCGCTTGAATATATCACACTCGATTTTCAATACATAATTTTTCATTATGTATGTATATATATATATTTTTTGTTTTCAAATTACACATTAAATCAATATAAAATAAAAAATAATAATAAATATTTATCAAAAATAGTTATTTTCTTCTTTAACGATATGTGTTGTTTATAGAATATAAATGTCAAATGTGACTGACGATACTTTTGTGATCAACTGTATAAATGATAATCAATCAGTGAAAAGTGAATACATTTGCTTATAATATGTCAGAAAATAGACTTGATATGGATATTGATAATCAGAGTGAAGATGGAGAAATAAAGAAAAGCCCTTCGAAGGACATGGATGATTTTAGGTATTGAATAATATGATGCTTGATTTTAACCTCAATTTTCGAACTATTAAAATAAATCTTTGTTTCAATATATACTTGTATCCTACTTTCTCTTTCTACTTTTTAATTAAAGTTAATAAAAATCAAATTTTATACATATTTAAGAATATTTTATATATCATTTAATTACAATAATAAAATTTTCGATTATTGATTCTTTTTTAAATTACATATGTTATAATACATTTTTTTATATATTAATGAAATTAAGAAAAATTTGTATATTTAAGATTTAATTTAATTTTATTTGAAAATAATTTTATTTGATTAGTTGTTTTTGAAAAAGTATATTTAAAGCTTTTCAGAAGAGGATGGAGGAGATACAGCAGATTCTTTAGATATAAAACCACCTCAAGCTGTTGTCCGTCATCATAAATCTAATTCATCAAGAAGAAGAGATAAACACAGTGATAGAAGAGATCGTAGAGAAGAAAAGGAAAGAAAATCTAGGCACCATGATCGTGGAGAAGATAGACATAGAGATAAACATAGACATCGTAGACATGGCATGGATATTTTGGAAAGATCAGAACGTTCTGAGGGTTCTAAACGAGAAAGAGAGAGACTTGAAAGATTAGAAAGAATGGAAAGTCATAGAGATAGAGAATCTAGACATGATAGAAAAGAAAGAACTACAGGAGATCGTGTTTTGGAAGATCTAAGAGAAAGGTATACAAAATTTCATATTTGTATTTTCAAAAATCAATTTTGTTGTTAAAGCTATTTTTTATGTTCAAATTTTTAATTTAATAGATTATTTAATTTTTAATAGATTATTAGACAAAAGGAGAGAAAGACGAGAAGATTCGCGAGATATTCGGGATTACAAAGTGGAAGCACGTCGTGAGATGCGTTTGGATGATTCTCGGGAATTACGTGATTCACGTGAACGTAGAGAAATGCGTTTAGAAGATATGCGAGAACGTCGTGATATTCGTACTATTGAAGATATTAGAGAACGTCGTGAAATTCGAATGGAGGAGCATAGACATATAAGAGTCTTGGAAGAACAATATTCTGAAACAGAACTTATGGAACGGCCTGAGAGAAGTGAAAAACGTCATAAGAGATCACACAAACATGATCGTCTTCGTGAAAGAGACAGAGAAAAAGCAGAGCGTGAGAAAGAACATAGAGAAAAACAATTACGTGAAGCAATGGAAATTGTCACGGAAGAACCAGATGATATGGAAATCAATGAAATACAAATACCACCAAAAGATCCAAAAGAAATGACTGAACAGGAACTTAGAAAAGAAAGATTACTGGAAGCTGATAGAGAAATGGCTAGAAGAAAAGAAGTTTCTAGATTGGAATTGGAAGCTCGACGAATGAAAAGAGGTGAAAAACGACCTCTAAGTCCAGACAATAATCAAGATCCATCTATTGTAGAATTATCAGATGAAAGTCCAAGTCCTGGTCATTCCGATGAAGTTCGTTCTAAGTCTATTGAGTAAGAATTATATTCTGATATAATTCATATCATGGCTCTTCACTCTTAAAATTTCATGATTATTCATTTACAGATCTAGACATTCATCTGATGGTCAAAGAAGTATACGTGAGAGATCTTCTGATAGACATTCTTCTGATTCGTCCGAATCTAGTAGCGATGATGACGATGAATCAAATGATTCAAATAAAGGATCTAATGCTGATTCAAATGATGGTTCAGATTACAATAATCCAAGTCCATTATCTGTAGATCGATTGGCTAAATCTGATCATTCTGATGGAGAATCACCTGGACATGTAGATTCAAACAGTGCATCTAAGAATGCAGAAGAAGAAGAAGAAAAAAAAGAAGAAGAAGAGCCTGAATTACCTCCATATTTACCAGCAATTCAAGGTATAACTGATTTGGGGGGAGGGGGATTCATATTCTGTAATAAAATTTTTAATGTTATAGGATGTAGAAGTGTGGAAGAATTTCAATGTTTAAATCGTATTGAAGAAGGTACATATGGTGTAGTATATAGAGCACGTGATAAGCGTACAGATGAAATCGTTGCTTTAAAACGATTGAAAATGGAGCAAGAAAAAGAAGGTTTTCCAATTACTAGCCTTAGAGAAATAAATACTCTACTAAAAGCTCAGCATCCAAATATTGTTACTGTTCGAGAAATAGTTGTTGGTAGTAACATGGATAAAATATTTATCGTGATGGATTATGTGGAACATGATTTGAAATCGTTAATGGAAACAATGAATCAAAAGAAACAAGTTTTTATACCAGGTAAAATATAATGAAGTAATTATAATAACAAGAAATAAGAAATATAAATGTCTTTATTATAGGTGAAGTCAAATGTCTTATGCAACAGCTGTTACGAGCAGTAGCACACTTGCACGATAATTGGATTCTTCATCGAGATTTGAAAACGTCTAATTTATTATTAAGTCATCGAGGTATTTTAAAGGTTGGTGACTTTGGTTTAGCACGAGAATACGGTTCTCCTTTGAGACAATATACTCCGGTTGTTGTAACGCGTTGGTATAGAGCTCCTGAATTGTTATTAAATGGAAAAGAATATAGTACTCCCATTGATATGTGGTCAGTAGGGTAAGAAAAAAGAAATTGCAAAATTATATAGTTATATCTTTATTTTTTAATATGTTATAATTATCATATTATATATATGTTATATATGTTATATATATGTTATAATTATCATATCATTATATGTTTTTTAGATGCATCTTCGCAGAATTATTAAGAATGGAAGCGTTATTTCCGGGTAAATCTGAAATTGACCAATTGAACAGGATATTTAAAGAATTAGGTACACCAAATGATCGGATATGGCCAGGATATAGTAAACTGCCGATGGTGCAAAAAATTCCTTTCGCTCATTATCCCGTAAACAATTTAAGACAACGTTTTAGCTTATCATTATCGGATTTAGGCATTGAACTATTAAATAAGTATGTTTCTTCGAATAACAATCTTTTTATTACTTATTGTTGTTTTTTTTTTCCTTTTTTTATTTTAAACAAATGTTTTTCTAGGTTTCTTACGTATGATCCGCAACAACGAATTTCAGCTGAAGATGCTTTGAAACATGGATATTTTACAGAAGCACCGTTACCAATAGATCCTCAAATGTTTCCTACATGGCCTGCTAAATCGGAACTTGGTGTGAAAACAGCAAATGCTTCACCAAAACCACCAAGTGGTGGAAAAGAATATAAACAATTAAGAGATGGAGACGATGCTGATTTAAGTAACTCTGGTTTTCACATGGGTCTCACGGAAGGCGGTAGACAACCACCTGTCGGTGGTGGTTTTCATTTAAAATTTTAAATATACGTGACAAATTTTATATCAAACGAAAAATAATTGCTTTTCTAAAAAATAATCTTTGTACATAATTTTTCCAATGAAAATAATTGTATATGCAATTAAAGAATGCTATAAATTTCACATGAAAAAAATATTACATATACAATAATTTTGAATAATTTTATCCTTTCAAACAGTTCTTGATTGAAATATTTTTTTTTTTTGAAAGTTTATATTTTATCTTATTTTATATATAATATAAGTTGTGATATTTATTACAATTAAAGAAAGATAAGTGGTTAGAAGATCATATAAAAAGAATATAATTCTTTATAATTTAGTTTATTGAATTTGGTGCATTACAAGCCTTAAAGATTCTTTGAAATGTATATATTAAATAAAGCGTGGTATTTCTCCGGTGTCAATAGAATTTTAACAATTCTACTTTCCAGCATTGTTCATATTTTTCGGTAGACCTAGAAGCGAGTTTATGAGTTCTGAATTACGTTTAGAATGACAAAGACACGGTGGGAATAGTAATAGTTTTGCAATCCTTTGTAGGTCATTATTCTAAAAATACATTTTACACATTTATTAAGGTTATTTCTAAAAGTGAAACAAAATTAAGTGCATCATATCTCCTTACCACTCCTCTGTCATATGGAAAATTTAATGCCAACAGATTTCTGTAAGAATCTTCAGTTGTTCCAAATGTTTGGTATACGATTCCCAGCATCATAATTAAGATTAGCACACATTTCCTCGATATCATACTTTATTTCCAAAAACAAATTATTAACATGCACAAGAATGAATAAAAACATGTTTTTTAAAATTTTTTTAGTTTAATTTTCAATTTAAATAATTTTATACGGTTACCTGTTTTTACCTGTATTATTGCAAGTACAAGTATCGTTTCTGTTAGCTGTATTCTGTGAAAGTGCCCTGAGAGTTTCAAGCTACGAACTTTTATACGAATGATGTTCGTGGGGGGTTGAAATGTGATCATGACAGATGAATCTGTGAATGACAGTTATATTCTCGAGAAAATATCGAAGAAATTCTTTCGTTCTCTTAAAATTATTATATAAACTTCAATATTGTCGGTGACAGAATTTTTATTTATTACTTTTGAAAATTTTTTTTTTTAAAATAATTACAGAACGACATATCATTTCTTTAAAGGATAACAACGAATCGAAGATTTTTGAAGATTATTTTTCATCCAAAGATTGATCATGGATTAGAAACTTTGATCTTTTTTCTTTTTTTTTTTTTTTTCTTTTTTGACAATTATCCTTTCAAATTTCATGGAATATAAATAACTTAATTTTTTTTATTGATTTTATTTTTAATATATAATAAATTAAATATATAAAAAATTTATTATAGATGACGAAAGGAAGAAGAATTATAGAGGCATAAATAAAAATAATAGGAGTAACAAGAATATCAATACGATCTAATTAATATTGAGTCTTCGTTTCTCTTAAATTATCTTATGTATCAAAAAAATTAAAATCAAGTAAAGATTTGGCTAAAGGAAAATTAATAATCACTGTTTATACATTCGAGTTTACTATTACCACGAATATGTAGTGAATGAACGTCTTATCTACATTTACGACCCACTGCTTTCAAGTTAATGATGCGATAAGGGAACATATGTATATATTTATGCTGCAAAAAAAATATTGGAATTTTCAGATATGTCAAGTTTATTTTGCAATGCTTTTTTGCAATGCTTTTGACTCGTTAATGTATTCATGTGTTTTTTTTTTTTGTGTTCTTCTTTACGAAAAATTACAACAAAGTATGAAAAGTACGAAGAAAATTTCATTAATCTTTAAAGAATAAAAATCTCGAAAGAGATATTCTATTTGGACATTTAAAAATGCAAATCAATGAAATATAAAAAAAAAAAATACTAAACAAGAAAAGTAATCGCAAAATTAATGCAATCTTATTATAATTCTAATAATCAAGGAATTGTATTTATTCATGAAACACCTACGTAAAGATGAAGAGCGATAAATACCGAAGATAGGTTCGATATCCTTCGCATTGAATAGTTACGAAGAAATAGAGGAGAAGTATGAGAGGACAAAGGAAAAAAGAAGTAAAGGAAAGAGAAGGAAAGAGGAAAGAGAGGAAGGGAGTTCCAATAGTCCATGCACGATAATCGAAATCTTCGCGCTCTGGGATAGGTGTGGGTCACTAACCAGTAACCAGAAAGCTGACTCGAGACTGGTGTCGTGGCCTTGATTCTTAAGAGATCCTTCGAAGCCATGTGTCGCGTGTCGATCATGTTACAGTTTAGTTTCTTTGACACCGAATGTATACTCTTATCTCGCGCTACAATTCTTTCAAATTAATATTGAATAATTTTTATCATTATTTATAAAATTTATCTTTTCTTCTTCTTCTTCTTCTTCCTCTTTCCTTCTTATTTTCGTCGAAACAATCATCGTAATATCTAACACTATAGATGACGTAATTAAAAGCAGTTTGAGATTTCTTCTTGTTGTAAGTATCTTCATAATTTTTAACTGACGAACGACGATTTCACCAAGGATTCTCTGACTTTTCAAGGTGTATTGTATAAATCACACAGATCGATAGAAACACGAAACGAATTAACGTTTACGCCTGCCGAATCATCTATTACTTTTCTGTTAATAGCTTTCTCGTGTCATACGCATCCATTGAAAAATTTTAACGATCGCTTTATAAATACTAACTTTGGGAAGAAAAAATGCATTAATGATTTTTTTTCTTTTTTTTTTTTTTTTTTTTTTTAGTTTCGATCAAATGGTTCGACACAATGTATCATTCTATTAGATCAAGGCCAGTGATAAATAGTAAAATAACATCGAATTTATCGTTGAGATCATCCTCGAGACTTTCCTTTTCTCTATTTCTATTTCGTTTCATTCATTCTTTCCACAAATTTGCTGCAATTATGTCGCATGCCAGATAAGGATATTATATATCCTTTCCTTATAAATCTATACATGTATATATAGCAGTTTGTCATACGAGTTATAGCCATGTGATTTAATTATGCATTCCGTTTAGCCGTTTTAAATGCTTTAACAGGTTCTACGTACGAAAAACTCATACAACCTGTATCGAAACACATTTGACTTCCCGATGCCAATGAACCTCAAAGACTACGTCAATAATCTGCGTTGGCCCTCGAGCACAAACTGGATCTTTCGCGCTGGATTTATTCGGAGGAATGAGAAACAATTAAACCTATTGACATTTTTTTTCTAAATTTGAATACCTGTCCCGTCCAATCGTCCTCGCGGCCGCGTCTTTCTTCTTTTATTTTTTTTTTTTTTTTTTATCGTTTCATCCTCCTTTCCCTTCTTTTGATCGCGATTTCAGTGTTAAAAATTTGTTACTTATAAAGTTTTTTTTTTAGTTAATTTAGGTTTCTTGTCCGATCTTTCTTTCTTCTTTTTTTCTCTCTTCTCTCTCTCTCTCTCTTTCTCTCTGTTAGAGAACAGGTCGATAAAATAACCGGTCGCAAGTTCAAGGCGAATCATCGGCATTTTTACACTAAATTCCCTTATTTTTTTATAGGATGCTACGGAGATCTGCAATCAATTCTCGAATTCAAGTTCTTCGAGAGGAAATCCTAATTAGTTATCTTCTTTATCGTCTCGCAATATAAAAATAATAATAGGATTGTATATAATAGGATTTTGAAAATCCTTTATTTTCCTGAACGAATTCTATCTTTTCCTTTTCGCTCTTTCGCTTCATTTTTTGTTCGACTCTTCTGGAATATGATAAAAGTCGTTCTCCTGAACTTGCATCTTACCAGTTTGTTGTATAAAAAAAAAAGAAAAGAAAAGAAAAGAAAATGTTTTCTCGCGACATCTGACACACACTGGTAATTTCATATCTCTATCTCTACGATTCCAGATCTCTACCACTAATAAATTTGCGAATTGGCCAGCGGATTTCATAGCGGAAATATTTATACCAACAGGTTTCCAGCATCATTGAAGCCAAGGTATATCAAAGAGAGGACGAGAATGGCATACGTAACGGGGGACGTATTATCCTAGAAGCAAAATGAAATATGTACATCCTTAAACGCTTTTGTATCGGATTGTATGTTTGACGAATACGACACGATATCGTTTCCGCTTACCCTTGAAATTGATAATGTATCAATCGTGCGAATTTGAAGATAATAGGATATTGTCGATAAAGGATCTTTCCCCCATCAATCTTTCGAAATATGAGTTTTGAATTTTAAAATACATATATCTTTAAAATCGTTAACGTGTCGTAATAATGGGCATAATTAAAAAGTTTCATCTATACATTTAAACCGGATCCGGTTGTAAATCGTCAGTTTATATGATTTGAATTTTTGGACAACCGGTTCGGGTATTGTAAAATAACAAATGCACAGCTACGAACACACACACACACACACACACACACACACACACACACACACACACACACACACACACACACACACACACACACACACATGATAAAAGTCGTTCTCCTGAACTTGCATCTTACCAGTTTGTTGTATAAAAAAAAGAAAAGAAAAGAAAAGAAAATGTTTTCTCGCGACATCTGACACACACTGGTAATTTCATATCTCTATCTCTACGATTCCAGATCTCTACCACTAATAAATTTGCGAATTGGCCAGCGGATTTCATAGCGGAAATATTTATACCAACAGGTTTCCAGCATCATTGAAGCCAAGGTATATCAAAGAGAGGACGAGAATGGCATACGTAACGGGGGACGTATTATCCTAGAAGCAAAATGAAATATGTACATCCTTAAACGCTTTTGTATCGGATTGTATGTTTGACGAATACGACACGATATCGTTTCCGCTTACCCTTGAAATTGATAATGTATCAATCGTGCGAATTTGAAGATAATAGGATATTGTCGATAAAGGATCTTTCCCCCATCAATCTTTCGAAATATGAGTTTTGAATTTTAAAATACATATATCTTTAAAATCGTTAACGTGTCGTAATAATGGGCATAATTAAAAAGTTTCATCTATACATTTAAACCGGATCCGGTTGTAAATCGTCAGTTTATATGATTTGAATTTTTGGACAACCGGTTCGGGTATTGTAAAATAACAAATGCACAGCTACGAACACACACACACACACACACACACACACACACACACACACACACACACACACACACACACACACACACACACACACACACACACACACACACACACACACACACACACACACACACACACACGAACACACACGCGCGCGCGCGCGCGCGAACACACACACGAACACATTTAAAATTCGTTTCAAACCACTTTTTGTTTTCGCAAAAATTTGGAAGATCGAAGGCAAGACAATTGTTTTCATTGTTACAAAGTAGCCAATTTTCAGCACATGTTCCTTCCAATCCTGGTACAAATAATCTTTACGGAGGGATACGTAAAGATAGCAGCAAACAATTTTAATGGATTCGTTCCGTGAAAGCAGCCGTTTCCTGATTATTAATGGAATAAGGGTTAAAATGAAGGAAATCGTTATCCGCTGTCCAGTGGTGAAAGATAAAGTCGCGTGTACTTACTTAACTTACTTACTTACTGGTTGTAGAGAGATTAGAGGGCGCGAACAACTCTTGGAGAGATGCAAGCAGAGATGCAGCAACACGCACACAAAATCGCGACGACGATGTTGTCGTTGCCATGGCGTGTAAGGTCGAGAATTGGTGTACGTACATGATGGTTCCTTCGTGGTCAAGGACGTCGGAGACAGTCAGGGCCTCCGCGTAGGGTGCGGGAGCCGAGGGGTCCCTGCGACGATGGAGTAGGTATATATATGGGCGTCCAGCCGCGTTCAGAATACCAGATTCATGCAAGTTAGCCCTCCCCACGAGGCGGGTGGTGTGCTTTGAAAAATTCATCGCGGACGACCTAGGCGGTGGAGAGTCGAGGGGCCTGCTCTCTTCGCGGTCTCTTCAATCAAGAATCGGGCAGTACGCTGGGATCGACTACCATTCACACCTCGGATCGGGTTGGACGCATTAATTTGGAGAACGTATTCCCTCGGCAAGGTTCGTGCGATTCTTTCTCATTATTCGTCGAATTTTTTATTTTCGTTTCTCTCTGGGATTCCCTCCTATTTTTTTGTGCTGAAAGAAATTTTGTCTTCGTTCAACGAGAGAAAGAGTGGAATGTGATATGAAAGTTGAAAAGAAAAACTTTAAGAATTATGTGTACAATGCAGAATTCAAAAGGAGAGACTCGAGAGGAAATGGAACGGGAAGTTTTCATTGACGAAGTCGTGTGACAATTTTTTCAAAAATTGTAATTGAACACAATTTGCATTTTATGCGTTACTTTTTCGATCTTAAATTTCAATAATCATTTGCAACCGTGTGTGGAAACGTATACCACATTTTACGTATAATTGTTTATATATATTTTTTTCTATCATAAAATGAATGACGGAACTTTATGGATTGTCTAATAATTTTAATCTTTTAATTTTCCATTCCATTAGAGTATTTTAAAAAATTTATCGCATTTTCCACACGATAAGATAAAAACAGTGGATATAGTGTGTTCAACAATCTATTAAATGGTCATTAAACGCTTCGACACTCCTTCTCGAATCTCTTCTATTATTGATCCACTTCAAAAACCACTCGATATTTTATAATCTTTGTCTCGTTTAAATAAGATAAAACTCAACGAAAATTTCGGTTAATTGATACGTTTAACGATACGAGGAGGAATCTATGAAAAAGAAATACAATATCAGATTGTTATTAACGTTGTTTCGGAAGATCAATACCTGACGGCTTGACTGGCAAACATTGTCCTCTTTGCGGTCACTTCCACCTACGAGAGTAGCATTTTTAATGGCTGAACGCTATCACGAGGATTCAAGTAGCGGCGCGTGTCTTTGTCCTCGAGTGAATCAGCACGCAATGCTCGAGTCCAATTTCGATTTCGCGTTTTATCGTTTATACGATGATTAAAGATTCGCACAACGATCAAACAAGCTGCTTCGACTATAAAATATGCAAATATCAGTATTAATAAGAAACTTAATTGGACAATAATTCTACGTACGTATGATTTTAAATGTTCAACACTTTCAAGGTCTTTCAAGATTAATATGTTATATGTGTTTACAAGTACTATACTATACATTCTATGCACCCGTAAAAAAACGTTCTGTCTCAAGCTTGTTAGCAATCCAGTAAAGAGATAACAAAAATATTAAGCATGTCGTGAATGATTAACGATTGTTTTTCAAGACGTGTGATCAATCATCGGTGCAATTGAACTCGGAAAAAGTTCGCAATAGTCAGAATCGTTGTAACATCGAAGCATATCTCATTCTTCGTATATTTTTCTTTTCCGGTATTCGTACACGCGTGTCTTAAGTGCAGGACAGGTTTGCACGCACATCACACAAATGATGCATCCAGCAATTCTGGTTTTCAGATATCGATGCACGTGTGTACCGTATATCTGCTTTTAATTACGATAATTTGTAATTGTCAGATTAATTGTTAAACACTGTCTCTGTATTTAATCTATTGTGCGTTATTTGCTAATTATATCCGATTCGATCAATAACATTGTATTCCTTCACTCGCGTGAATATTTTTATAATTTTTTTCACAGAGGCGAAAATCACTTTTCTTAACTGTTCAATGTTATCGATAGGAAGAAGGAATAAAAGTTAAACGACGCAGACACACACTTAATGATGTTAATCATTATCCTTCAAGTATGATCGATCAGATTCACTTATTGTGCACGAACGTTATTATTATTATTTTATTATTTTATTGCCAACAATCTGAATCCTTTGGATTTACCGATATTCCTAGCTTTTAAAAGATCTATGTACAAAATTTTATGTTATTTCTATTCATTGAATATAACATTTCGAAAAATATTGTTCTTTTAGCGATGATTCTGTGGTTAACCTTAATCTTCGTGACTTCGGTGGCTGCAGGACCACCTTATCGAAAGACAATACCTGATATATTACAACCACCTCCATGGGACTCTGTAGAAGAAACAGACGTAGAAATCATCAATGTGCCATTGTTTCAACGTGATGCTGTAGAAGGTCCACCAACCATCGATTCACCATCGATAGATCCCGCCATTACTCACGAGGATTACGGATCTCGAAGGTTTCCTTTGCGCGATGCAGTCGAAGCGTTGCCCTCAAATAAGATCGATTCTCAAGTCGATAATCTACCCTTGCAGAATTTCAGAGAGTCAGTATTTCTTAGACATAATGGTACATGTATCTCGTTCCATAAACACGATCTTCGATATTGAATTATTTCATTTGTAAATGATCATCTTTCATGATTAATTAATCAACGATTGCGTGTCGAGATTACGAATCGAAAGTGTATATGGAGCTACTCGGTGTTTCCTTCATTATCTTATTGTTCGTTGGGTAATTAATGAAGGATGATTTATTGGTTATTTTAGCGGTCGAGTGCCTTTAAGAGATGCCGTTGAACATCGCGAAGCTCCCTTCTTTGGGAACGTCGATCACGAATCGATTTGGATCGAACCATTAGCTCCACCAACGTTAACAAGAATGGAACAAATCATTAATCCAAAAGTGGTGTGCCATTTGGACTCCAGTGCTGTGCACAGAGTAGAGCCATTCTCTTTGTTTCCTCAATCCGTACCACACTATCGATGCAGCCATTTGATATACGTAGCAGCCACTTTAGGTAATTTAATGTTTCCATGTTATATCGAATCGATTCGTTCATGAATTAATTAATAAATATATATTATCTGAAATATATGTATACCATATATATATAGCATAAATGACGAATAAAATTTTCTTAGATCCAGAGAAGATGGTTATCGTCTCGAGAGATCGCGAATATGACGAGATCAAGGGTAAAGTTGTAAATCATTAATTATTTCGCGGATAAAGAAAGGATATGTTAAAAATTCGAGTCCCGTTAATTTATTCCGTTCAATTCAAATATAGGTGGATATAAAACGGTAACGGGACATCGATCGAGGGATCCAGCGTTGCAAGTGCTCGTCTCGATCTCGGTTCCAAATCGAGGAAAATTGTTCTCCGAACTGACCAAAAGCTACTGCGCTCTCCACTGCGAAAAATTTGCCAAATCCATCGTGAACTTTCTCCAGGCGCACGATTTCGACGGGGTGGAGATCGATTGGGAAGGATCGGCGAATCATTCGAACGATTTGAAACTGTTGTTGAGAACAATTAGAAAGTTTTTCGTTGATCAACAATACGTTCTTGCGGTGGTTCAAAGGCCGGAAGATCCGGTGGATCAAGAAATTAGCTCTGTGGCCGATCTGCTTCTCCTGAGAGCGTGGAGGGACAGTCCAGCTTTCAGAAGGGAAAAATTGGCACTTCACCCGGCTCCTCTCAAGTACGTAGCTCGAGTGACCAACAAATGGATCGATCGTGTGCCGAGAGAGCACAGATCAAAGATCGTTCTTGGTTTATCTGTGTTTGGGCAAGGATACACCTTGAAATTCGAGAATTTTACGGATGCTGGCGCGCCTATCATTGGGCCAGGAATCGAGAATTACGACAAGCAGAAAAACGGAAGGATGGCTTATTACGAAGTAATTGCCCGATAATTTATATTTTATATTCGAAACAAGGTTCTTTCTTTTTACTTATATTTATCCATTGCGCCCAGATATGCGAGAAATTGGAAGATGGATTGTGGACCGCTGGAAGAGATGAAGAAGGGCCGTACATAAAACGTGGGGATCAGTGGGTCGGTTACGAGGATCCGTTGACGGTGAAAATCAAAGTAGCCTACGTTAGATCTGTGAAGCTTGGCGGAGTTTCTTTATGGTCCCTCGACTTGGATGATTTTCAAGTTAATAATAATAAACTTGTTTTCTCCTCTCTAATTTTTCTCGCGCTCACTTTTAATATAAAATTATAAACTAATAAATACGTTGTTACCAGGGTATTTGCGGAAATTCGTGGCCAATGTTAAACGCTGCAACGGAATCGATAGGCTTTTACGACGAGACACAACTGGGAAAATGTTCTACGGATGGGCTCTCTACCGATCCCCAGAATTGTTCAGGATTTTATTCTTGTCACAATGGTAAACAACTTGTGAATTCTCTTTTCAATAATATTTGATTAAAGATCGAATTAATTCTTCTATTTAAAAAAAATTATCATTCTGTTTGTAACAGGAGCGCGATATCGGGGTCAATGCGGATCTGGGAAATATTTTAATTCGAACAATGGTCGTTGCATAAAAGCGAATTCGAATGTTTGTAAACCTGGCCAATTTAATCGAATTCAAGGAGATCGTTATCAGAGTGAAATAAGAGAGTCGCAAAAATTGCAACATTTAGAGATCTCCTCGGAAAAGGGTCCTCGAGTAGTGTGCTACGTGACCTCGTGGTCGTTATATCGGAAGGGTGACGGATTATTTGTCCCGGAACGTCTAAACTCTCGTTTATGCACCGATATAATTTATGCGTTTGCTGGATTGAATCCTGATACGTTGCTTATTCAACCGTTGGATCCCTGGGCCGACATAGAATACAGTAAATAAAAAAAACTTACTAAAGTATCGAAACGATAGATTCTTAAAATAAAGTGACATGTTATTATTGCTTGTTCTATTATAACATCAAATCTTGGCTATTGTTATTAAATAAACAAATATTTTCAGATTTGTACGAACGAGTGACAAAATTGAAAGGATCAAGAGTGTTATTAGCTATAGGAGGATGGACAGACAGCACTGGTGATAAGTATTCTCGTTTAGTTAGCAGCGGTGTTATTCGTCGCAAGTTCGTTTCAGCCACGGTAAACTTCTTAAAAAAGCATAATTTCGATGGCCTGTCCTTTGAATGGAATTATCCAAAATGCTGGCAAAGCAATTGCAAAAAGGGGCCGGACACCGACAAACCCAATTTCACCAAATTGATCAAGGAATTGAAAAATGCGTTTGACCAACAAGAGCCAAAGTTAACGCTTGCTGTAGCATTTTCCGGCTACAAAGAGGTGATCGACAGAGCCTACGAGGTGCGGGAAATCTCGAAAGTGGCGGATTTTATATCTGTAATGACGTACGATTATCACGGTGCTTGGGAGTCGAAAACGGGACACTTGTCACCTTTGTTTGGAAACGCTGCCGACGTTAATCCGTACTACAACGTGGTGAGTTTATATAATACATTATATTTTATGAAACGAGATAGATTGTTAAAATTTTCTTTTCTTTCTAGAATTCTACAATGGAGTACTTGGTTAATCTTGGAGCAGAAAAATCGAAGCTTCTGGTAGGGATACCTTTGTACGGGCAGGCTTATCGATTATCCAGTGAAAATCTGGCAAATCTTGGTGATCCAACAACTGGTCCTGGAACTGCTGGTGAATTTACAAAGCAACCTGGAATGCTGGCCTATTATGAAATTTGTGATAGGATCAAATACAAGGGTTGGAAAACTGGTTTAGGTGAAAAGTCAAATAAAAAGAGAACCACTTTTCTATCTTTCCAAATAACGAAGAAGTAACATTTTACAAATGGTCTTAAACATTTTTTTTTTTTTTTAGGTCCAAGCGCCTACCTCAAAGACCAATGGGTGGGCTACGACGATCAGGAAAGTGTCTACGCGAAGGGGGAATACATTCTGCAAAGCGGTTACGGAGGTGTAACGCTGTGGACAGTAGACTTGGACGATTTCTTAAATCGTTGCTGTTCGGAGTCGTTCCCACTATTAAAGAGTATAAATCGTGCATTAGGTAATACGAGTCATTATATATATTCTTTGAACGTGGCGTCTGTTAACGCCTGTCCTATCATGTATATTTACATTATAGGTCGTTTAAAGAACAAGGCATCCGAAGGATGCCAACGGCCAGCAGAACCAATTACGCCGCAACCTCCAACGTTGACAACTCACAGCGATGCCGTGGAGGAGACTCCACGGCCAACCACACCGATGACTAAACCAACCATGTGGCCAACGTGGACTGAAAAACCGAGCACAAGCGCTCAGCACACAACCTGGCCCACTTGGACCTGGAAACCAGATACAACGAGCAGTGTGAGCAGCACTACAATCTCTTGGACTACCCAGTCCACCACCAAGTATTATAATCTTAATTCCCATAAATAAACGCGTTATTTATTATCGTGATATTATAATATTTGCAAGTTTTTTTTAATATATATTTTATTGTTGAAAAAAAAAAAAATTAAAGGAAGCCATCAACGGTGGAAGTAAATACGGAAAAACCAACGGATTCTTCAAAGCCGGGAACATCGTGTACGATAGGGGAATACGTACCGGACCCTGAAAGCTGTAAAAATTACTTCAGATGTGTGCTCGGCGAATTGCAACGCGAACAATGCGCGCCCGGATTGCATTGGGATGCAAGACGAAGCATTTGCGATTGGCCAGCTGCAGCGAAATGTCAAATGGAAACTGGTAAGACTGCATCTATCTTTATCGTCTGTACTTCATTCGTTCATCGAAGAGACATTTTTTCAATTTAAGAAAAAAAGAAACGTAGGTATGTTGGATATATATATATATATATTTTTTCATGTAATAATTATGTAACAGCATCTTCTTCATTACGAATGAATTCTTCCTCTTTATTATTAATTTGACATTCATTTTTAAAGCAACTTATCATCATTAATAAATTTTTCCTTTTTCTGAATGCTGAAATAACGAACAATTATATTACACGGAAAACTCAATTCCTTTTAATAATTTCTTCTTGAAGTTGTCGTTAACAGACATATCGGTTCATTGGCAATAACGCAAACCTGTTTATTCGCGCGTGGCAATAATCATCCAATCTTCACTCCTGCGCATATTTTTCCACCAGTTTTGTAACCGCCTCCAGACAAACATCTTCCCTTTATAAATCATTCGATTCTCTCACGCGATACTCAGTATCACTATTTCTACGTGTTCGTTTCCTTGTTGAAAAAAAAAAGGAAAGAAAATGACATTATTCTATATTATTCGCGTAATTTTCATTTTAATCTTAATAGATTCCGCCTCGATGCATTCGAAAACGTTCCAATTGTTTAACATAGGTATATATATATATAGAGAGAAATGAGCGAAGAAACGATTAATTAATAAAAACTTACAAACGATAAACGTAACATTTTGTTCTTTAAAGTAGGTTCTGTTACCCAGAGACCATCGTGGACCACGACGACTACCGTTGAAACCACCACCGCAAAGAGACCGTCTACATTGGCAGCATCCACCACCCAGAAACCGATCTTCATGAACGGTCCCAACGAGAAACCAGAAAAAAATTGCGTGCACGGCCAGTATTACTCCTATCCGAATTCCTGCACGAGCTTCAGCATTTGCGTGAATGGGAATTTAATATCTCAGCAATGCGGGCCAGGTTTGAATTGGAACAAGAAAAAAATATGTGCGATTGGGCGTTCAAGAATCCTTGTATCGAGAACCGAAAAAGACAGCTCCGCTGATCGCAACGGATATTAAATCCATGGTAACATTATATTGCATCGTCTCTGTGTTGTAAAAATTACGAAGATTAAGCTTTTTTTTTTTTTTCTATCTTCTCCCAGCCATGCACTCCCGAAAGCTACTCCAGCGTTCCAGGTGATTGCGAAAGTTTCAAGGCGTGTTTATGGGGTCGGTACGAGGTGTTCCGTTGCGCTCCCGGATTGCACTTCAATCAGAGAACTCGTATATGCGACTGGCCGTCCAGAGCCAACTGTCAAGATAATTCCGTGTCGACAGGCGATCGAGATTCGAGTAAGCCAATTCGTCCGTCGAGCACCGAGAAACCTTGGGAAGCGAGCACCGCAACAACCACCTTACCATCAGCCGTGATAAATCCTGAAAAAGTTTCTCCGTTGTCTGGATATTACAAAGTAAGATCATCATTCTTGTGAGCTAACGCGAATCCAAATCGCTTCAATGATAATAATAATAATAATCTCTCTCGTGCAGATCGTGTGCTACTTCACGAATTGGGCCTGGTACCGAAGAGGCGTAGGCCGTTACGTTCCTGAAAACATAGATCACACTCTGTGCACTCATATCGTCTATGGATTCGCAGTTTTGGATTACTCGGATCTAATCGTTAAAGCTCACGATTCTTGGGCCGATTACGACAACCGTAAGAGTTGTGATTTTTCTCTTTAAAGAATATTCGAAAAGGGTACGTGAGAACGTGTAATATTTTTTCGAACAGGATTTTACGAGCGTGTAGTCGCGTATAAGAAACGAGGATTGAAAGTATCCCTTGCTCTCGGTGGTTGGAACGATTCAGCTGGAGACAAGTATAGTCGTTTGGTGAACAATCCCGCAGCTAGGAAGAAATTTATCGCGCAAGCAGTCCAATTTCTAGAGAAGTACAATTTCGATGGACTTGATTTAGATTGGGAATACCCAGTTTGCTGGCAAGTATGTGCAGATGATGTCAATTCCCTCGTTAATTCTCCTTTCCTGGAATTAATTATCAGAATTAATATTCGTACCCTTGTCGTAGGTCGATTGCAAGAAGGGGCCGTCCTCGGACAAACAAGGTTTCGCGGATCTGTTGAAAGAGCTCAGCAACGAGTTAAGGCCTAGAGGGCTGTTGCTTAGCTCCGCGGTCTCACCGAGCAAACAAGTGATCGACAAAGGTTACGACGTTCCCGCCCTCGCCAAATACTTGGACTGGATCGCAGTGATGACTTACGATTATCACGGTCAATGGGATAAAAAAACTGGCCACGTTGCGCCCCTCTACCACCATCCCAACGATGATTATTATTACTTCAATGCAAACTATTCTATTAATTATTGGATCGCCAAAGGAGCTCCTCGTAGAAAAATTGTTATGGGTATTGTATAAATATTGAAAACATTAAATTAAATTAAATTAAATTATTAGCTTATCCAATTGATTTATTTCGATCGAGCAGGAATGCCGCTGTACGGGCAATCGTTCTCCATAAACGATCCCAGCGCGGGGACAGGATTGAATGTACCAGCTAGCGGTGGGCAGGCAGGAGAATTCACACGAGCTGCCGGATTCTTATCCTATTACGAGATTTGCGACAGGATACGGAATCGTGGATGGAATATTGTCCAAGATTCGCAACGTAGAATGGGCCCTTACGCGTATAAAAGCAGCCAATGGGTCAGCTTCGATGACGCCGAGATGATTCGAAGGAAAGCCGAGTACGTCAGGAGTATGGGTCTTGGTGGTGGAATGGTATGGGCGTTGGATCTCGATGATTTCCGGGGTCGTTGCGGCGAGGGGCCGCATCCTTTGATGCACACCCTTCAGAAAGTATTAGCTGATCCACCGAGCGAGGATGAGAAACGTAATCTTTCCTTTGATATTTTTCTTCCTTTCTCTTTGTAATTTTTTTCTTTTATCAACCAAATATCTTGCAGCTGAGAAACCGTGGATCACGGTGGAGGATTTAGATCAAGATGCGATGGCACCCACGGTAGCGCCCACTACTGTTAAAACACCTATACCATCGTCGACCTCGAGGGATCAGGTGCAGTCAGAAAATGGTTTTAAAGTAATTTGTTATTTCACGAATTGGGCGTGGTACCGTCAAGAAGGAGGCAAGTTCTTACCCGAAGACGTGGATACTGATTTATGCACCCATGTTCTATACGGTTTCGCGGTACTCGATGGATCTCGATTGAAGATAAAATCGCACGATCCATGGGCTGACATAGACAACAGTAACTATTAAGATTTGTTTCGTGTAATTTCTTTTTTTTCTTCTTCTTCTTCTTCTACGGATCGCTATATTTTCAGAATTTTTACAGAATTCTACGAAAGAATAGCAGCGTTGAAATCGAGGGGTGTAAAGGTATTGATGGCTATCGGAGGATGGAACGATTCGGCAGGAGACAAGTACAGCCGCCTGGTTAATTCGCCATCGGCCAGACAAAGATTCATCGAGAATGTAATCCAATTTATCGAGAAGTACAAATTCGAAGGGTTGGATTTAGATTGGGAATATCCAGTCTGTTGGCAGGTGAAATAAACTTGTTGATATACTTATTATAATTTCCAAGATTTCTAAGATAATTTTGACGAGTAAAAGACGAATTTTTTAGGTCGATTGCAACAAAGGTCCAGCATCGGATAAGGAAGGCTTTGGCAGTTTAGTGAGAGAGTTGAGCGAAAAATTTAAACCGAAAGGATTGTTGTTATCTGTCGCCGTTTCTCCTAGCAAACGAGTCATCGACACCGGTTACGACGTGCCGACCTTGGCAAAATACTTGGATTGGATATCTGTAATGACTTACGATTATCATGGTCAATGGGATAAAAAAACCGGTCATGTAGCGCCTCTGTATCATTTACCCAGTGATTGGGAGCCGACCTTTAACGCTGTACGTGCTTTATGTTACAATTATCGATGACAAATGAATACGAGTTACTCATTAACTTTTTTTTTTTTTTTTTTTTTTACTTTTACAGAACTTCTCTATTCATTATTGGATAGAGAAAGGTGCTCCAGCGAAAAAACTTGTTATGGGAGCACCTTTGTACGGTCAATCTTTTTCTTTAGCCGAGAGAACACAGAGGGGATTGAATGCGCCAACTTATGGTGGTGGTGAAGCCGGAGAAGCAACAAGAGCCAGAGGCTTCCTCTCCTATTACGAAGTAAGTATCCCATTTTCTCTTTTCTTCGTAGATTTTTATAAATATATATTTTTTATCTCTGGACAATTACAGATCTGCGAAAGAACCTTGAAGAAAGGTTGGACCGTCGTCCAAGACAAGAAACGTCGTATCGGCCCGTATGCATTTAAAGGTGACCAGTGGGTTAGTTTTGACGATGCCAGACAAATTAAACTGAAGGCAGAGCTTATAAAGGATCTTGATTTGGGTGGTGGCATGATATGGGCCCTTGATTTGGACGATTTCAAAAATAGATGCAATTGTGAACCTAGTCCACTTTTAAGAACCATGAACAGAGTTCTAAGAAATTATCCTAAAGGCCCATTGTGTCCGGTAACGAATGGTAAATGTTTTAAAATTGAAATTTCATAAATTCAATTATAAAAATGAGAAATTAATGTAAAATGAAGATAAATAATCTTGAAAATAGAATTTATGACAATCGATATCGGTGAAACCACCATGGAATCAACGACGAACAGCGAACAACCAAATTGGGAAGCTACCACTTCTCATAGACCAATGTATTTACCACCAACGACCGCAGATCCGTGCACAGACACTGACGATACTATCGAAATAGAAGCTGAACCACCATTAATAGGCACTTCGCCAGAAGATTGCGGTGGTCGTGTATTCGTTCCCCACAAGAAAGATTGTTCCAAATACTTCCTGTGCAATTTTGGAAAACTAACTGAATACTCTTGTCCTCCTGGTCTTTACTGGAACGAGAACCGTTGCGACTGGCCTGAGAACACAAAGTGTAAAAATTCCCAACGTCAGGTGAACGGTTGAAATTATCCCAATTTACAAATCTTTCTCTTCCTTTCTTTTTTATAAATCTAAATTAAATTTCCAGTCCAATCAATTACTCCCATTAATCTTGGCTCCAGAAACGGACAAGAAGAAAGTAATTTGTTACGTAACAAAGTGGGGAAGAAAGCGATCTGGATCAGGACAATTTCTACCCGAAGATATCGACCCGAATTTGTGTACCCATATCGTTTTTGGCCCCGTCAAATTGGACCCGGAACGATTGACCATCCAAAGTCCTCAGAGTATCAGCCAAAAGGAATTCTTTGATAAAATAATAGATATTAAAAATAGAAACGGGCTAAAGATTTTACTTAGTTTGGGAGGCTGGGAAGAATCAAAGAATAACAAGTATAGTAAATTGGCACATAATTCGGTGGAACGACAGAGATTTGCACGTCACGCTTCTCTTTACATTCAGAATCATGGCTTTGATGGCCTTGATCTTCTTTGGGAGTATCCAGTATGCTGGCAGGTAGAAATTGTTACGCAAAAATGACGTAATGAATGAAATGTTTTAATAATAAGTAAATTTATCACTTATCGTTTCTAACTTAATTGTTTTCTTCTCAAAAATTACGGTTATTTTACTTTTCATAATGTTATAATGTAATAATGTTTTAATTTTCAATTTTACAGGTCGATTGTACCCGTGGTCCATTAACCGACAGAGAAGCTTTTGCAGCTTTGCTTAAGGAACTGAGTATAGCTTTGAAATCGAAAGGGTTGCTCCTTTCTACCGCAGTTTCTGCTAGCAAAGAAGTTATCGACGTGGCTTATGATGTTCCAGCATTAATCAAATACGTTGATTGGATGAACGTTATGAGTTACGATTATCATTCTAATTTAGAGAGCAAAACTGGCCACGTTGCGCCGCTTTATCATAACCCAAATGAACAAACCAAATATTTGAACGTAAACTTCTCTATGATTTATTGGCTAGAACAAGGTGTGCCATCGAATAAGCTCGTGATGGGTGTACCAACGTACGGGCAGAGTTTCACGTTATTGAGGAAATCGCAAAGAAATGAAACGCCAGGCTTTAACGTGAAAGTTTCTGGACCTGGATATCCGGGCAACTTTACCAAATCATCTGGCATGCTTGCTTATTACGAGGTATGAATTCATCGATTGATAAGTAAATCACTTTATATATAGTACGTACTATACATAAGTAACATTATATAACATACTTGATAAATATTTAATGCAAATTATCATCGTAAATTCTTTTATGTAAATTGCAATTTACTTTTACGTTCAAAGTTTAAGCCGAACGTTTTTTCTTTTATATACACTTTCATAGATATGCGACAACGTGAAAAATAAAGGCTGGTCAGCTATTAAAGATCCGAAGAATTTGGTTGGACCATATGCAACGAAAAGTGATCAATGGGTCAGCTATGAGGATATATCAAGTATAACGCAAAAAGTAATTGACATTTATAAATGATGCAACAAATTCAAGATAAATGTTTATCATTCGTATAAACATATAAACATTCACATATTTTCTTCCAGGCAAAATTCATAAGAGATTTAAATCTTAGCGGTGCTCTGATTTGGTCCTTGGATTTGGACGATTTTAAAAATCAATGTGGTTGTGGAAAATATCCTTTAACAACAGCGCTTAGTCAAGGAATTAGAGGAGAACGAGAACTCAGAATGGATTGTACTTGAGATACACGTATCTTGAACAATTATGCAAATGATTCACCAATAACAATTCATTTACATTGTGTTCCACTTTCACGATAAATCTCAGATAGCTCATAAATCATATTAGTCAGTGTAGATACTGTATGGCACGAAGTTACAAATACTTTGCAAAGAACAATATGATTTAGAGAGAAAAAAGAAAAAAAAAAAAGGATTTATCTTGACGATTTGTATCGTACTACGATTTCCAATCGTGTAGGATCGTAATAAAATCAAACAGGATTTGATCTACGTATTTCTTTACTTGACTTAACTTCCATGTTATCTTCCGATTCGTAGTATAATAATATGTTTACAATGAGTGATGTTAATTATATGTTTATTTTATATGCTATATTAATTAAATGCATCTTCGTCTAAACACATTAGATTATTTACAATAAATAATCGGGAGATAAGAATTGTACAATGATTTGATTCGTTACAAACATTGATTGCTAATTCGTTTTTATGAAAAAAGAAGAAAAAATTGTGAAACGATTAAAGGAAAATTAAAATAACAAAAAATTATTTTTGGGTGACAAAATTTTTTTTACATAAAAAGAAAATAAATTAAAAATGAAAAAAATATAAATTTGATTTATATTTATAAATATAAAAATAAAAGACAATCTTTAATCAAACTCACAAGTACACGCATATTATAATATTAATGCAATTTTTATAAACATCTGTATCTTATGTACGATTTTAAATACACCATGTCATGAATAGAATAAATTATCATTATTATTATGCAAATGAATCATTTATCCCAAAAAAATGATATGAATGAATGATAGTATTAACTCTAATAAAAATTTTTACAAGTTGTAACATTTAACTTGTAAAATTTCTTTAATGTCTGCAAATTTATTGGTTTAAATTTTTGATTTCGATAAAAATACCATTTTTTACTTAATTTTTAGTTATATTATGTTAGTGCGAAATTTTCAAGAATGATCGAAATACTATTGTCGGATAAAATGTATGTTTTCAGTATGAATTCTTCTTGAAATTGATTACTCAAGGTTGGAATTATATGAGTAAATAAGAAATGCGTAATGTTAGATAGTACGTTAGGAGAGGGTAAAAAAAAAGGTGGGGATTTCGATTTCTCAAATCATTTATGATATTTGAACTAGTCCTCTGTGAGCAGTGTGACCACATAGTTGTGCATATTGAACTTGGATTTATAATTATAAGAAATTATTGTAAAAAAAAAAAAAAATCAGTAAGTTATTTAATCTTTGTTTGAACTACATCGTGTATTTTACAAAATTATATATTTTATTAGGAATTTAAAAAATTTCATAATATTATTACTAAGTAACATGAAATTATAAGAATATGAATTTATAAGAAAAATGGCATGATATTAAAAAAGAACAAAAATATTTATATACAAATTATGAAACGTAATTACTTTTTAACGTAATTAAACCAAAAATTTTAATATTGAATTTAAACATATTAAATTTACAATCATCGATTATCAAAATTTAATTCAGATCGAGATCTACAAAATCGAACGATAAAATTCGATAATTGATTGGAATTATCAATACGACAGCCACGTTATAAAAAGTTCAACAGAAAACATCAAGAAATTAAATACACTTAAACTAGTAAGCAAATATAGAAAGTAATCAATGTAATAATGATATTCGATTACAAATTCGTTTATTGGTCTATTATTCATTGTTGTCATTTAAATTATTATTATTGCAAGTAAGTTCTGTTATATGTTATTTTAAATATTTTTTCTCTTTATATAGGTCAGCATATATGACTTGTAATTCGGAAGTTTACGTCAGCGATATACTTGACTATAAAGGTATGTAAAAACTGATATATTATTTATATTGATTAATCATTAAGGATTTATATTATATATATAATATAAATATATATATGTTATATATATAATAAATATATGTATAATATAATATAAATATTAAAATTATATTATAAAATATTATAAAATATTTATTGAAATCATATTCTGATTTTAAGTTATTTATTTTTATGATTTACACCTTCAAATTATATATTATATATTATATATAATTTTATTACTCGAAATTAATAACTTAAATAATTAATATTCAAGTGACTATGAAAATATTAATAATGTGTTTATTTCGTATAGTATATCGTATAGTTAGTATATTTTATATATAATAAATAATTTATTCTTGTCATTTTATCAAAATTAATAAGTTATTTAAATATTGTAATTCGATAAGATAATAAAATATTCTAGATTATTAAAATAAATTATTATTTAAAATCATTAATATTTGAAAAACATGAATCATACTAAATAGATATATTTATATATAGAATATATATATAGTACTTAAAGTTATAATACATATATCTATTGGCATTGAAATTTTTCATTCGAGATAATATATGCACATGCTTGATTATTGTCAACAAACATACAATTCAATATTTACATTTATCATTCTGCTTCCTATGATATAATGAGATAAGTAATATTTTACACACAGGAAGTTTCCCCTTTTAGAAAAATATCACTTCTTATTTAATTGAGTATATATGTATATAACTAAAAATATGAAACACAATTTTTTTTAGATTTTATTATATTTTTTTTTAGTTCAAATTTTTTTTAAATGAAAAAAACATATATCGAAAAATGCAAAAAGCATTAAAAAAATATTCAACGCATTCATCCAAAAATGATTCTAAATTTTATAACTTATACTATTCTTTATTGATAAAATTAGCAATCAAAATAATTAAAAAACAAATTCGATTTTCTTTCATTATTAATGAATTTAAATCATTATAATTTTATTAACTAAAGTTTATTAACTAAAAAATATTTTAAAATAATTATAATAATATACATACATGTGAACTGATTAGCTTCTACGAAAAATGTCGAAATCGAATTATATTATACTGATTATCTTGAACGTATAACGAGAATCTTTTATCATATTAATTGTTTATAATATTTATTTATAATAATTTCAAATCAATGATTTAATTTGCATTCATAATCTTGCAAATTACGCACTTCACAAATGTATATATTATGTTAAAGAAAGTAAAAAAATTAATTAATTTTATTTATTAATTACCCCACATTTATTTATTAAGTATATTTATTTCGAACATATATTTTTTTTAAACGATATTCGATTGTTATATTAGTTCTGAAAAATCTAAATATTCTCTATAATTATATTAAAAGAATAATAAATTTTTTTCAGTCATGCAATAACATAAAAAAAACTATATGTAGACAACGTTTCATGTTGCCAATAGCAATCCATTCTTAGTGTTATTTACCGTTCTGACGTGTCAGTGACACGTGCTATACAAAGCATGGCATTAGGTAATATTTTTCAAAACATTTTTAATAATTGTTTCAAATAATAATTTTCTTATCTGCTTTCTTTATAAAATATTTTCTTGTGAATTTGCTTTTAATGTAATATTTTTTGTATAAGATATGACCTATATTTACATTGCTAATTTTACTAGAAAAGATTGAATATATGTATCTTCTTTGTAAATTGATATAGTATGTTCACAATATAAAAATAACTTTTTAAAATATAAGATTCAAAATAATAACTTTTTAAGTATAATTATTAATTATAATTGTAGATAGTCATGCCGCTGTACTCACGGATGTTGAACAATCACATCAATCTAATCCAGATAATCGCGATGAAAGATTAGTAAGTATAATTTATTCAATAAAGTTTAAAAGAAAAAATTGCTTGACAATTTTATGCCAATAGGAAACATTGGTGAATTTTATTTTGGAATTTTAAAATCATAATCTTCATTTAACAGTTCTTTAACATTAAATATTTTATATTTTATATAAAAATAATGCAATAATTCATAAATAACTTAAAAATAATAAAATTTTATTACAGAATATAATTTATAGGTTTTGATTTTTCATTTTAATAATTAAATTATTGATTTTTTGTTAAAAAAAAAATTGTCATAAGTTATCATGTAAAAGTTTTTAAATGTATCAAGCATTTTATAATATACTTAAAATATTTGTTTTTTATATATAATATGATATTGTCATATTTTATCTTTGCAACATCTTTTAATTATTATATTTTTTAATTTAATTTAAAATTAAAATTCAAACAAAAATTTCATGTAGAAAATAAAAATATGTATATAATTATCTTATATGTATTAATTATATATATTGGAATTAATTTATAATTCTATTATTTATCATTGTTTTATCGGTAAAAGTTTTATCATAATGAAATTAAATGAAATAAATGAAATTTACTTTCAATTAGAGATCAAGTTATTTTCCACTATTATATATCTCACTTCAATTTATTCTTTTTTCTCTTGATATTAGTGTTTCATGTGAAGAAATTTGATAAGCATTCCACTGGTGTTCAAGTTCAATAGTTAATCCAATAACAATTATTATATAAAAACTAATGAGATAAGGAAAATTTCTTAAAAATATATTATATAATAAAATTCATAAGCAATAATAACATTGTTACATGAAACTTTGACAGTTTAAATAATATGGATTTTAATAATTTAAATCCACACTTGATATTTAATTATATATGTTTTCAAAAAATCATTTATAAGCAATACTTTTGCATATATATTTGAGTAACTAACAAATTGAGGATTTATCTCTATTTTGTAAAAAGTTCTAGTAATGCATGTTTGATTATCTAAATAGTTTCCAGGTTTGCCAGTGATGTGTGGCTTTATTGAGTTTTATTCCATCATTCCATCCAGGCTTTTCCATTATATCACTGATTGGTCTCCCAAGATGCCACACATTATTGCTTATGATGCTTAATTGTTTCAGTGGTATGGTTTTCTGGTTTTACACACATAATAACTTTTTTTTGTGTTTTTTTTTTTTTAAGAGAGGGATAGGTGAAAAACTCACCTAGAAAAATACCAAACTTACCAATATACTTTATCATATTATTTGCAATAATAATTATATAAATTATATTATATGATTTATTGTACTGTACCATCATATATCCTATATTATATATTAAAATATTTTAATATATGTTTTTAGCACATCATATATTTTTATTTTCATGAATAATCACATATGCTTTATGTATGTTATGTAACATTTTTTTATA